TATAAAAAAAAAAACAAAAAAACAAAAAAAAACGAAGCTTTCAAGAGAGACCTAAGTCTTACATAGGATCCAAGTTAGTAAGCATATAGATATCCCCGTACTTAAAACTTTCCTTGCTACTCCAAACTCACACAATTAGGAACACATTTTTCTTCTGCTTTGATCCACAGTGGTTATTAGAGTTTTCTTACTTATATGCTTCTTGTGATGACTTGGCAGAGTTACCAGAACACTGAAGTGACTTTAATCAACCACAGTACAGAGATATTCAAAACCCTGAGCTACCTTAGCAATTTACTGCGCAGCATCAAGAATCCTCTTGGCACTCGAGACAACCCAGCACGAATCTGCAAAGATTTGCTCAACTGTGAACATAAGGTTTCAGATGGTAAGTTCTTCATTTGCATCTTCATGTCAACTCCATTTCATCATTTCAGTGAATTTGAGATTTGCAACCATTCATTTCAAATGTCGTTCCTTCTGATAAAACATTGGCGAAAGCCATGTTAATGTCATCAAAACCAAAATAGTCTTTGAGGAAGACATATTTACAAAGTCACCTCATCCCTAACTGTATCCTTTGCTTATACTTTGTATTTAGAATGTAGCACATCATATTTGAAATTAAAATAGGTAAGGTTGACCTTAGGTGGAACACTCCTAGTCCTTCGTAATCCAGAAACATCAATATTTTTAAAAATCATGAACTCTCTTCCACAACACTCCCTAACACTATGGTTTTCATATATAATGGAATTTAAATCCCCTCTTCTAGAATCAGTGAGCATGAAAATGGAGTGGTTTGTCACTCTTAGAAGTTTCACATCTAATATAAATAGCCCAAGTTCATTAGCCAGAGGGGCAAAAATGGATTTAGAGAAAACTATCAAGGAAATATTTTAAACCTAGAGGACCAATCATTACTTAAGGGAAAGACTAATTGCAAAAAAAAAAATTTAGGTTATTTTGTTTTCATTTTTATTTGGTCTATGATCAATTATCTAATCAACATTATATCTTTTCATTTTGCTAAAAATTTTATTCCCAACACATTTGAATTTAAAGTGAGCATAGCTTTGTTTTCTACAGATTAGGCAGAAAACTAAATTTATTTAGGATTGGGTTTTATAACATAAGTACAATGAAATGAGGTGAAGCAAAGGAATAAAGAACTTTATCTAAGAAATGTCCTTGCATATAATAAAGGACTATGAACTTTAAACTGGGTTAAAAAAAAAAAAAAAGAAGTGAGCCTAAAGGACATCAAGAACTGATAATTGTGGTGTTCCTGATAGAATGAAAAAAAAAAAACTACTGATTGGAGATACTAGCCAGTGTGAGTTGCAAAGATAAGAGAGGTCAAACTGTTGAGGGGATAGAATTGGAGGTAACAACAAAGGCTTTGGGAGTTAATGGTTAAAATAAGGCATGGAGAGAGGAGAAAAATACGTGAGTATGGTAGACACTAAGGGTAAAGGAGGGTTGACTGCAAGGAACAGAAGAGCTAGGGTATTAGGAGTAGCATATGGGCAAGAATGAGGTTCTTTGTAGATTTTTCTGAAAGTGATAGCAAGCCAGAAGCTAAAATCATCAAAGAAAAATATTCAATGTTTGCCTCAGGAAATGTTGATAGAAGATAGAACATGATGATAGGTATTTCAACACAGAATGTTTCTAGGGAGAATGTTTTCAGGGAGAAAGAGCTACATGTGGCAAGAGAGACACCTTCCCACCTCTAGCACAATTAAGCGATGACAGAACTTGATTGAAAGAACTACAAAGAGAAGCTGTGTCCTTAGGGGCAAACAATTCCAAGTTTAGAACAGTTAGGCTCATGAAAGGTATATTAAGGTATATAAGATATATTCAGATAGGCTATAGCTCACATTGCCATGAAAAAAAAAAATTGAAACCTCTAACCAGTTCACCATTGTAAAGCACAGTATTTGAATTCAAAGCATTTCATCCCATGCAACAATTGAAAGTTTGCTTGATGGTACAACTTTCATTAAAAAAAAAAAAAGTAGCTCACACAGAAGGAAAGAATTTCTTGGAAGGAAAGAGATGGTGAGTAAAGGTGCATATTTTCTTTCTTACAAAAGACTGGAATGCAGTATGAGATGCTGGTAAGAAACCCACCTATAATTTCTACAAACTTTGTAGACTGTTAAGGGCTGGAGAGATGGTTCAGTGTTAAGAGCACTTATTGCTCTTGCAGAAGACCTGAATTAGTTTTCCAGCATTCACATGGTGGCTCACAATTCTGTGTAGCTCCAATATCCTGGGATCTGAGGCCCTCTTCTGGCCTCTGTAGGCACTGCACACATGTGATGCACATACATACATGCAGACAAAACACTCATACACATAAAATAAAAATAAATACATCTTTTAACCAAATAATAGAATGCTGAGAATTCTGGGAAAAGGAGTCGAATGAGGATGGCTATCCTGACCCTTTCCTTCCCTATTTCAAGAGATGAGTGGTCCTCCAGATGTGTTCCCTGGACCAGAATTAGATCTTGTTTGAAATGCAGATTTTCAAGCTCCATCCAAAACTTAATGAATCATCAGCTCAAGGTGGGGCCCCAGTAAGTGTGTTATGACAGCTGGTTTGTGCACACTACACTTTGAAAACCACTGTCAGAGAGGACAACCCTTGCCCTTTGACTACCAGTTCAGCAAGTATGCATTTTGTGAGGTTATGAGAATAATAGCCAAGAAAATAGTGAAGGATGTTTGAAGTTGGAGGAAATTCAGTATTAGCTACAGGCATCTCTACTTTGGGGGTAAAGATGGAATGGAAAAATAATCTCAGCCTGTTATAGAACATGGCATTGGATTAAAAAAAAATCATTTGCCTTGTCTTTTTGACTCAAAAAAGCAGAAGTACCTGATTCAAAACTTGCAATATGTGGAAGTGGAATAGGATGCTGTTTGAAGATGCTGATTCTGTCATTCTAGAATCAAGAGGGTAGCACCATGCCTCTCAGCTGATTACTTCTTGTACCACCAATTTATTCACCTGTGTCCTCACTGTAGGTGTAGATTGGCTGGCTGATGCCAGATGTGGGGAACTTCAGCTTTGCCCATTTAACAAATCTGAAGAGGAAAACCCAAAAAGAATCATTGTTTAATTGTACACTTTTCTTTTTGGAAATAAAATAAAATGTATTATTTTTAATATTAACATTACCCACAAAGATGTGTTTTCTTCAGACAGATTAGAAGCATTTCTAAACTCTGTAACAATTTGGAACAGAAATATATAGAACTACATAATTGCAATTTTTCTACTAATTATGTAAGCAATTTCCTTTTAGTTGACCTCTTCTTTTTAAGAATGTTTTAACATTTATTTATTCTGTGTGAGGAGCAGGCATCTATCACAGGAGTATGTGGAAATTGGAGGACAACTTACAGGAGTGGGTTCTCTGCCTCCACCACGTGGGTCCTGGGGTTGGAAATCGGGTGGTCAGCTTCACTGGCAAGCACGTTTACCCACTGAACCATCTTAAAAGTCCTAGTTTCTTCTAATCTGTAGTATGAAGCAATGAACTTAGCTACTCTATCGTTTTGATTAAAGTAGTATAGAATGCTTTTAAATTGATAGATGTTTAAAAATGGAGTTCCCAGCAATGTTACATGCCGGTAGTTTGCATTCATTGACTAAATATAGATGCTCACAAGCAACTATGTATTTTAACAGATAAGACTGTGACAGTGCATATATATGTACATGTGGTTTAGCATGAGACTGAAATAACTCTGTGTTTTACTATAAATTAATAGGAAAATACTGGATTGATCCAAATCTTGGATGCTCTTCAGATGCCATTGAAGTTTTCTGCAATTTTAGTGCTGGTGGCCAGACATGTTTATCTCCTGTTTCTGTAACGAGGGTATGTGCTGATTATTAGAATATATGGTGGTATGTTTTAGAGTATCCATAAAAAATAAGTTTTAAAATTCTGTCCCTTGATAAATTAAATCAAAGCGTACTTTTCATCCTTCATTCTCCATCATCTATGAGAAATTTTTTCCTTGTTTGAAATATTTAACTGCCGTAAATTTTCACATTTTGATTGTGTTTATGATTGGCTCAGCTTGACTTATTCCTCTGATCTTGTTTCTGAAATTCCCTAAAAGTTATGCAGCATATGTTTTGTTTTTATACATGCATACACACACACTAGAAAAATCTCTGAACAGCTGCATTGCATATGATCAGTAATCAGTTACCTACAGTCTTGTTGAAAAATTACATCATCACTAAAAGAATTTTGCTATGAAAACTTGCTAGTTTTTGGTGATTGGGTTCAAAATATCCTCCCTGAAACATTACTAAATGCTATTTAAAACATCCAGGAATAATGCATAGACTCACTATTTAGAATGAATGTAAATTAGTTTCATACAACAGTGAGACAAGTATTTAAAAAAAAAAAAAAACTAAAGCTCTGTTCCATTTATAACATGTTGAAATCCAAACTGTATGTCTTTATTCTGATTAAACCAGCTTGGTATTTGACCAAGAATTTGTTTCTCATTGGCAAAGAGCAGATACATCTGCCTATCATGTGTCTTGTCATAAAAAGGCAGCAGCCTAAAGGTACAGTGCAGCCATTTCTTGTTGTACCGCCCTCTCCTTCATTGACCAGGGGTTTCCATTGTTTCATCTCACATTCACCACTGTTCCCTCTGAAATGGAGGAAAAAGGGTTCTTCCATCTCTATGGAAACCCTGTACTGCTAAAGGAAGAGCAGCACAATAGTCCTTCATCCAAAATATATGCCCTCCTCCTCATCCTCACTTCCCTAGAAGCTGCCCCCAGATTTTTAATCTGATTTTTGGAGAAAGGAGAAAGGGAGAAGAGAGATATTATAAAAACAAGATATGAACAATGCATAGAAGCTTTCTAGTTCTTTCCCTGACTGAGTCACTTCTCTCATTGATCTCATCCATAGAAGACTGAGGTAGTAGAAAGATTTGAAATTAGGAGCCAGCACTGGAGGGCTCCCTGTGGAACGGAATACAAGCTACCAGAGGGCCTGCTCTGCACATTGGGCAACAGACTGGGTACTTGAATCCTCTAAACAACACCATCAGTTTGTCCACAAGGAAGCTAAGGCTCAGAAAGGCTGATGTTTTATACACATATGTTTCAAATAAAAAAATTAACAAATTGAATTACTTGCCAGGCATGATGGTACATGCCAGTAATCCCAGCATTTGGGAGATAGAGGCAATAGATGTCTATGAGTTTGAGGCCAGTCTGGTCTACATAGTAAGTTTGCAGGCCAGCCAGGGCTACAATAGTAAGACCCTGTTTCAAAAGGAAGGAAGGAAGGAAGGAAGGAAGGAAGGAAGGAGGGAAGGGAGGGAGGGAGGAAGGGAGGGAGGGAGGGAAGGAAGGAGGGAAGGAAGGAAGGAAGGAAGGAAGGAAGGAAGGAAGGAAGGAAGGAAGGAAGGAAGGAAGGAAAAGAAAAAAGAGAAATTTAAGACTTCAACTTTAACATTCCTAATGAAATTAGTATCTTCCCCTGGTTTTGACCTGATGCCCCTACCTCACTTTTTTTCTACTTTTTTGAGTTTTCCTTTTGCTGTTCTGGTGTTTTTGTGTTTGTTTTCTTTTCCTGTTGTTAATTTCCATTGCACTAGGGCCCAAATCCAGGGCCTTGGGCATGCTAAGCAGGCACCCTACACTGGGCTGTGCCCCTCGTTCCTTAGAGTTTGTCTTTTTGTTGTTGTTGCTTGTTTTCCAGAGCCACTGCCTCCTAACTGGTATTATTCGAATTTTATATTTGGAAATTTATTTAAAGTCCTCAATAGGAGCCATTCCTTCTCACATTATGTCCACACCCTTCTTGAATAATAGAAGATGATGATGATGATGATGTCTTGTCATCTGGAGCTGCAGAAACATTTACTTCCCTTCCCAAGTATAGAAATTGAAATCAGAGCTCTTAACTCCTGTTTTTCTCCATATCACTCATGTGATTAGTTAAGACTGATTCATGCATTCATTGATTCATCCATTCAGTAAACATTTAGAATTCCTTTAGTATTTGGCAACACAGAGAGTATGATTTTATCTTTGTTCTCATAATTAAAATTACTCAACTAAATTATTATTCCAAACTTGTAGCATATCTTTAGAAAGTCAACAAAAATAGTTTCAAATAAAGACATAAACAAAATTTCAGATTTTTATGAAAAATGTATTAAAGCATTAGTCAAACAAATAACTAATTATTATTATATTTTGGGTCACATCATAAATTCATCTTCATTTTTGTTGTATGCTATGGCCTAATGATTTTCTGCAGCCAGCTCCTACCATGGGAGAATCTGCTGTGAGCACCTTTCCTAAGTCCATGTACATCACCTTAGTAGTCTGGAGGTCTATTTCCATCCTAAAAAAATCAGAAAATACTGTGAATCCAAGATCTCCTCTTCCCCAGCCAAGAATCAGTGGTTTACCAGCACTCCACCAATTTGCCCTCATATTCCAAATGTCGCAGGCTGCTCTTCCTTAAGTTTCCCCAATACATATTTTATAACCTGAATATTGTTTCTATGACATTAGCTGGAGTTTGGAATCAGGAAAGTCCAGATGAACTTCCTTCATTTACTGAGCTCAGAAGCTACCCATATCATCACCATTCACTGTCTAAACACTCCAGTGTGGACAAGCACACAGACAAATGGCCCAGGACTGCCTATTAGTTTCAAAGGATGGAATGGTCAGATTTTTGAAGAAAACACTCTACTTGAACCTAAAGTCCTCTCAGATGACTGCAAGGTAAGAGAATGGCATTTTTAGAATTGCTCAATATGACTGAAAATTATGACAGCAAGACTTCATTTACAAACTGAAAATACAGAAATATGTTACTTTTTTTTTTTTTCATTTGGTCTTTTTTGAGACAGGGTCTCCCTGTAGCCCCAGATGTCCTGGAAACTCACTATGTAGACCAGGCTGGCCTTGAACTCACAGAGATTTGCCTACCTCGGCCTCAGTGCTGGGATTAAAGGTGTGTGCCACCACACCTGGCTAGAAGTATATTATATTTTAAGGTCCTAAAATTCCATACATTTCTCAGAAGCAATCACTTGTTTATAGCTTATCAACTTTTTTTTATGCCAATAGGTTATTCATTTGTATGCAAAATAAATGTTAATACATAGCTCTTATTCCTCTGATGAAATAATTATATCTGGATAAATGGATGAATGAACAGATAAATCAATCAATTGAACAATTGACAGATAAAGTATATACATGAATATATCTCATGTTTTGTGATCTACATTTTATCAATTACTTCATGGAAAACAAGCCACAGAGGTGTCAAATTTATTTCATTTTGTCAGTTCTTATACAATTAAATATGAATATAATTGTAGATTAACTGGTCCTATTAGTGAGTTTTTATTTTAGCTCATTTTTTGTTGAAATTAAGTAATAGACGCCATGACAAACCTGTAATTTTAAAACATTGTTTCATAAAGCAGGTGTTGACAAACTATAGTCATCATAGCAAGTCTGACCCGCCACCTGTTTTTGTAAATTAATTGCTATGGAAACAGAGCCACACCCATTCATTCCTTACTAGCTCTGGCTATTGTCACTGCAGAGGCTGTGCTAATGTGAGCGAGTCTGTCTGACCCAGAAAGCCTAAAATATTTTCTGTCTGTTCTTTACATTTCTCAGTTTATTTATTTTTATTTTATATGTATGTGTTTTGCCTGCATGTATGTAAGTGCACCCATGCCATGCAATGCCTGCAGAGGCCAGAAGAGTGTGTCAGATTCCCTGGAACTGGAGTAGTTGTGAGTTGCCACGTGGGTGCTGGGAACTGAATTTGGGTCCTCTGGAGAAGTAGCCAGTGCTCTTAGCCACCGAGCCATCTCTCCAGCCCTGTCTGCCCATTAAAAGGAATTTTCTAACCCTGGCTAGAGAGACAGAGTTGTCTGCATATCATCATTAATTTTTTTCATTAATTACTCTACATAACCTCATTCCCTGCCCTAGTGTATGATAAAACCCATGATTTAACATCTCCTGTCATTTCTCAGAGACTGCTTTTTCACAGTATTTCTTTTCATATGCAAATGCCCAAAAGTATATCACTCCTACTCTCTATTTGAGGAATGCAGTATCACTTACAAATTTACATAACTTTTAGTTATTTTCAGAAACTTTCACTGGCTCATTAATATTGCTGAAACACAATCTAAATTTATTAATGCTACTCAGCTCTACAACCAACAAACCTGCCTTTCTAGCTTGGACTTTTACTGGCTGCCTATACCATGGTCAAAATGGTCTATTTGTCATTATAATCATAATAATAACAACAATAAAAAATAACAAATTCTATTACTATTTATTATTTTATATAAGTGGCCATATAATGCATATATTATTTTATTTAATCATAACATCTTTGTAAAGAAAAATTAGTCCAAGCCAGACTTAGTAGTACGTGCTACAAACCCAGCATTTGAGATGTGTAGACTTGAGATGTGTTGACAGGAAGATTAAGAGTTCAAGGCCAGTCCTGGCTACATAAGACCATTTCTCAAACAAACAAGAAAAGAAGATTAATCTCATTTTCATAAGTTAAAAAGTAAAGGAACATAAATGTAAGAAATTTGCTTGAAGTCACTGGCTATTTAGTGGAGAATTAAGAACTCAATTCCAGGTAGGCACTTCCAAATTCCATGTCTCACAGTACTGCTAAAGTTGTTTAATTGAAATTCCTTTGATCTTCAGCCCTGTAAGAGAGCTTTTATTCCCATTTTGTATGTGAGGAAAGTAGTAATGCCTGGATTTCTACTGAAATCTGCCCAGGTCAAAGTCTGTGTTTTTAACCCCTTACTAGGCTGATGTAACCATCCTACACTTCACCATCCATTTTTGGTTGAGGTGGGGAGGGGTTATCATTGTTTTACTTCATGTCTTTCCTCTTCTAGGAGATGGCTTTCTCTACTTCTCCCACCAACGGGAAGCTTTCGGCATACTTTAAGACCGGCATAGATTCTGAGTTTCTCCTAAAGCATGTCCTGGCTACTCTAGTTAGAAAGGAAGAATTTAATACTCGCTTTGTTTGTGTTGAGTGCTCTTATCCCAGTCTTGCATTGTTTATTTTTTTAATTTTTTGTTGTACTTTTGTATGTTTCATACAATAGTTCTTAATCAAATTTAGACCCCGCCCCCAATCTATGTCTCCTTCCTCCTGCCAGACCTCATGCATTCCACCATACATGTTAAGTTCTATCCAGTCAAACATTTGTACGCAGATGTCCTTTGGTACAAGTTCATCCACTGGAGTCTAGTCAACCTGTCTAGAGATTGTAAGGTCTACGCTCCCTCACCCAGTAGTAACCAGTCTCCAGCAGTTCCCAGGCCAGGGCCGGTCTGCCACCCATTTCCCTCGCTCTATGCTGGGCTCTTGTCTGATTGAGTTGGCATGGTTCTTGTGTTCCATGTCACCATTGCCACAAGTTCACATGTGCAAGCTTCCAGTAGCCTGAAAGTCTCTGTTTACCTGTGTTCATGCACTAACTTTGGCTCTTACAATCTTTCCATCCCCTCTTTCTCAACGGCCCCTGAGCCATGGGTGAGTAAGGTTTAATATAGGAGGTCTATCCAGGGACACACACTCTGAAACTTGGCCAGTTGTGGCCTTCTGTGTGCATTGCATTCTGTTGTATAAGGAAACTTTGCTGGTGAGAGTTGAAGGATGCACTAGTTTTCTCTCTACCCCTTGTTCTGCTATGTTCCATGAACCTTAGGTATAGAGGTTCCACTGTAGATATGTCACCTAGGGCTGGGCATGTCTCAGACGTATATTCTCTGTGTCTGATCAGCTGTGGAACTCTGCAGTAGCCTCCATCTGTTGCAAACAGAAGCTTCTTTGATGAGTGGTATATGGTATACTTGTCTGTAAATATAAAGATCCATTTTTAGCCTATGGTAAGAAATTTCATTTGTCTAGAGATATGACAGAGATAGGGTTTTTCTCTAGGATCTATGACCTAGATCTATCTGATCTATGATCTATGACCTAGATCTATCTGATCTGATCTATGGCCATGTGTATTTGGCTGTTTTCAGTGCCACCCATAATTTATTCCCATTGAGAGGGATTTAAGTCCAACAGATAGCTGTTGATCACCCCCCAGATAACAGTGCCACTACTGCACCAATAGAGGTATTTTGCTCTGCTAGTCGTTATGGTTATTGGGCTTCAGGGCTGGGTTGGACCATTGATTGATTTTCTCCCTTAGCTACTTGCATAGTATCCTCTAGAACCATGAGAGCTAGACTTCAGGTAGAAGGCTTCCAGGTCAGTTCCTGCTTCATTGCTCCAAGTTCCTGTCTTCAGCAGTAGGGTCTTATCTTCAAGTTCTATGAGGTAACCAAGAGCCCCCAGCAATAGCCTGTGTCATTTTGGGAGTCTTTTGGACTACTCTGACCAGCCAATTAAAGGGACATCTCTCCTGTCTGGCACTGTACTCCCTGCCATACAGCCCCCAGGTATACACATGCACTAATATTCAGATACTACATGTGCATTTTTCAGGGGGTTCCTGAGTCAATACATTTCCCTTTGGCTTCCCTAGTCCACCCCCAAGCTCTATTCATCTCTCCTCTTTCTCACCTGGTCCAACTTCCCTCCTCTCTCCCCAGTCCAAGCACCCCCATCATCTCCACCCTCCCCCATAACATCCGATTCCCACCATCCCCTCCTCCTGAGTTCCCTTCTTCCCCACCATCGTGATCCCCTGCATGTCCCTCCTTCCTCCTCTCCCAGCCAAACACTCTCACTTTCCCCACCTCCCACCTGGTAACATCTGTTCCCTACTATAACCCTCTTTCCATCTCTTTCTTTCCCTTTACCTCCATGTTTCCTTTCCATTTTCCTGGCTCCTGGTGTTGCATCAGGATATAAACTTACATATAAGGGATTGCTGATACCACCCACAAATGAGGGAAAATATACATCACTTGCTTTTCTGAATCTGTGTTACTTCACTTAGTATAACACTCTCTAGTTCCATCCATTTATCTCCAAATTTCATAATCTCATCTTTCCTTACTGCTGAGTAGAACTCCATTGTGTAAATGAATTACATTTTCATTATCCATTCATCAGTTGAGGGACATTTAGGTTGTTTCCATTTCTTAGATATTGTGAAGAGAGTAGCAACAAACATGGATGTACAGTAGGATGTATATTTATTTATGTTTATCTTATCCCCAACTAGATTACAATGCTGTTTAGTTCAGAAGGCAGAACCAATTTATTCACCTTTGTATTTCCCAAGTACTGAAATAAAGTTGAAAATTACAGCTCATTCAGCTATGCCTACATCATGTTCAGTGAATGTTTCTTAAAAGTCTTAATGAATGAATCTAACAGTGTCTTACATGAACAATTCCAGGTCTACTTATCCCAACAACCTATGACATTAAGCAAATTTCTTATTGATGAGCTTCGATTGCCTTAGCTTTAACATGAAATGTTAAGCTTAAATAATTTCTAAAGATCCCTCAAAATTTAATATTCAAACCATGGCAATAATATGAGCAAATTACCTCCTGGAGTGAAAAAAAAATTCACAAAATTAGCCAATTGTGTTTCAGTATTTTGTCTTGTTGAATCTTGAACCTAGAATGTTTTATGATGATTTTGGACCATAGCATTTATCAGAAATAACAGAGCATCCAGTAATATAAGAAACAGAAAGCCTTGAAGGAGAGAAACCATATAAACGGAAACCCACAGAATGGGAAAAAAAAGGAAACAAGATGATTCAAAATAATTATTATTTAACTGCCTCTAACTGAGGTAATCCTAGTTGTTTTCTACCTAACTAATCCTCCCTTAGCCAAGAAAAATGACCACCCTGAAGAATCAATCACACATTCAGGAAAAGGGAGTCAGCAAGATGGTTCAGCAGGTAAAGGCACTAGCTAACCTGAGCCTAATCCCTGGGACCCACACGGCGGCAGGAGAAAATGAACAGCCAACTCCTACTAGCTACAAGTTGTCAGCTGAACTACAGACACAGACAGACAGACAGACAGACACACACACACACACACACACACACACACACATATCAAATAAATAAAAAAGTTTTAAAAAACAGGAAAAAGCCAGGCATGGTGGTGCACACACTTTTAATCTCAGCACTTAGGAAGCAGAGGCAGATGGATCGGGATGTAGTACATAGTGAGTTCTAGGCCAGTTGGGGATATATAAAGGACTGGGGAGAAAGAGAGAGAAAGAGAGAGAGAGAGAGAGAGAGAGAGAGAGAGAGAGAGAATGAGAATGACAGGAACAATATGGAACAGATGGATATAACTTGTATTAGGAACAATGCAAACATTTAGCCCACAACTGGTACAATGATCTAGAGACACCAGAAACAAAAGGCTCGCATTAGTCTCTGGAAGTGCAAAATCAAAACACAATGTCATTACAAAGGAAGCAAGCTGGGTGTCTTTGGCTCTTTTCCTGTTGCTGTGATAAAATTTGATGACAAAAGTAACTTATGGGAGAAGGGGTTTATTGTGGGTCACAGTTCAGGTTACAGTAGATCATGGCAGGCAAGGTCATTTCAGCAGCAAGAGCCTGAAGGAGCTGGTCACATAACATCTACAATATCCACGAATGGTCGCATGCTAGTACCCCACTGGTTTTCTCCCCTTGTACAGTCCAGGATCCCCTGCCCAAGATGTGATGCCACCCACAGTGGGCCCAGTGGATCTTCCTACCTCACTTAATGTAATCAAGATAACTCCCCACCAACAAGCTCAGAGGCCAATCTCCCAGGTGATTCTTGATTTTGTCAAGTTGAGAACACTAACCATCATGATGAGCCTATGGTGTAGGCCTATTATCTCAGATACTCAGGAGACTGAGGCAAGAGGATCATATGATTAAGGCCTGCCTGGACTACAGAATGAGTTCAAAGCCAACGTGTGCAACTTAGTGAGACCTTGTCTCATTTTTTTTTTCAATAAGAAATTCTAAGTATTAAAAAGAGTATTAAAGTATTAAAGAGTATAAAGTATTAAAAAGGATGCCTTGGGGATGGAGAGATGGCTCAGCAGTGAAGAGCACTGACTGCTCTTGCAGAGGACCTGAGTTCCATTCCCAGAACCCACATGGCAGCTAACAACCATCCATAACTGCAGTTCCAGGGGAATCCAATGTCCTCCTCTGACCTTAGGCATTACATGACACAGGTGCACTTACATACATCAGGCAATACACTCATATACATAAAAAATTAATAAATATTTTTTTAAAAAGAGATGCCTCATTGGTGCAGTAGGTAAAGTATCAGTCTCATAAGAAAGATCTCAAGATGTAGCTCAGTGGGAGAGTGCTTGTCTAGCTAGTATAGAGATTGAGGTTTAATCCTCAGTACAGAGAGAGACTGGGGAGAGAGAAAGAAAGAAAATATGGGAAGGAGGGGGGAGGGGAGGGGAGGACAGGGAAGGGAATGGAAAACCAGGGAAGGGAAGGGAAGGATGAGGAAGGAAGGGAACACAAGGATGGGGAAGGGAAGGGAAGGGAAGGGAAGGACAGGAAAGAGGGATGGTGTGGATTGGAGCAGGGAGGTAGGGAGGAAAAACAAAAGCATAACCTAGACTTCCAATTATTGATTGGTAGTAATTGCTACCATTTATTTAGCATTGTTCTAAGTATTTCCTATTCTCTTTAAATCTTCTTTAAGCTTTTTTTTTTTTTTTTCTTTTTGAAGACAAGTCTCACTATATATAGAAACTGGCCTCAAAATCACTATATAATCCAGACTGGCCTCCCACTTGAGATCCCAGTCTCTGCTAAGGTTCTTGGCATGCGCCACCATTCCTGGCTTTGTTCTTTCTAAATCTCCAAGCAAATCTACATTGTCCATGAAGAGTATCGTTTGTTGAGAACAACTTCTGGGGAAACAGTTATGAAAGCATTTTATTCTTATTTTACAGATTCAGGACGGCAGCTGGCATAAGGCAAAATTCCTTTTTCATACCCAGGACCCTAATCAACTTCCGGTGATTGAAGTCCAAAATCTTTCTCATCTCAGAACTGAGCGAAAGTTTTACATTGAAAGCAGTTCTGTGTGCTTTCTCTAAGGCCTCTGGATTAGCTCAGAGTTCATGCTGTTGAGTAGGTAACTGCTGCAGAGGGAGAAATGTAGACTAAGATACTGTCAATATGAAAAGCAGGGAATGAAGACATTGGCGAAATCCTAAAGAATCTCAGGAAGAAAAGATTTCCTCCTAAGGAGAAAAGGCATTTTCAAAGGACTGCGATTGATAATGTATTTAATTCTCTTAAATTTTTTTATTGATCTGAGTTTTCTTAAAGAATTCCCTAGAACTGAAAATTTATCAACTTGGAATTCTTCAGGGTATCCTGTATTTGTTGACTGACAGCCCATTAGACAGCTGGAGATGCAAAGGCACTGTAGAGCAGTGCTAGCAAGTGCTTCCAAAGGTGCAATGTTTCTGTCTAAAAATTGCAAGCCACAGTCTGGTGCGTCTTATTTTCCCAAACACTAAGCTGTATTTAGGTCCCCGATGGGCATATACATCTTAGCCGGTGGTATACTACCTCCTATGTGTTGCCTCTTTGTGTCGCTCGGTGCTCTTTCTTAAAACAAGGTGCTTGTGGCTGTTGTAGAAAATTATATTTCCTTTTTTATCTTTGTCATTAAAAGTGTATGTACTGGTTACATCCAAATATGTCTTAATTGTTAATACTTATTTTAATAATTTGTTTGGTCACATACTTAATAACAAGTAAAACAATTATTTATGTAAAGTCCTTGTTTTATTTTAAAATTCTCTTTGTGGAATCGAAGCCAGCACAATGTAACTTGTGCAGAAACACAAGAGAATTGGGGTGTTTCTTTTGTTGTTGTTTTATTTTTTTAATTGTTGTAAAAAAAAAAAAAAGATTTTAGGCCAGCTATATCGAATGCTAGGTTTGGGTTAGAAATTGGGGGTTGTGAAATACTATTTTAAAATCCGTGATCATCTGGAATGATATTTTGTGTATATATTTTGTAAGGTTTTAAGTCAGCCTATCTTTTGAAAATTGCTGCTGTTTTAAATTATAAAAGCTTTATATTTCTGCTTTGTAGAAAATACATGTTTTTGTAGTATTCAATGATTTTCTTTCCTGTTCTTAAAAGTAATGTTAGAACTTAAAAGAATTTATTTTACAGCCTTTAAAGCAACTGTGGAAGGGGTCCATAGTCACTAAAAATGAGTTCATCCAGTTTAGGCTTGTTGGAGAAATGTTAGTTCAATATTAAAAGAATGATATTATACCTCTTGCTATATAGAAGAGCTTGTTCATGTTATAAACATAACTTTAGCCACAACAAACCACACTTACCTATCTATAATAAAGAGGTGCTTTCAATTATTTTGAGTGATTATTGTTTTTCTTCATTTATTATGATAGGTATTTGTTACATATGGATAAGCCTTCCACCATTTTGTGCTATATATATATTTACATTATTAGAAAATCTGTTCTATAACTGCTAAAGGAATACAGGGCTTATTTCCTATTTTAACATAATAAGGACACAGTACAGAAACAAACCCTAACAAAATGGTGAATGATTTCCAACAAGGATGTGAACGCCATCCAGAAGAAATGGAACATTCTCTTCAGCAAATGAATCTTGGAAAAATGAGTATCCACATGGAAAAGGAACACATTGAACAATCACTTTACTCATATTACAAACAATTCAAAATGGGATCAGAGCTAAACTTATACAGCTCTTAGAAGAAAATATAGAAAGCCTTCATGACATTGAATTTGATGATAATTTCTAGAAATAACTCCAAAATCACAGTTAAGAGAAAAATTGGACTACAGTTTTTAAAACTTGAATATTAAAAGACACTACCAAATAAATGATGAGGCAACCCATGGACTGGGAGAAAGCACTTGTATCTGTCTGATAGGGAATTAATACATGGAAATATTAAAATGTATAGCTCAATAATATAAAAATCTAATTTTTTAAATGGAAAAGTGACTGGGAATGACATTTTTCCAAAGAAGATGTGCAAATGGTCAGTAAAGATGTTAAAACTTGTTAGTCATGGGCCAAGATAGATGACTCAGCAGTTAAGAACACTGACTGGTCTTGTAGAGGACCCGGGTTCGATTCCCAGCACTGACATGGCAGTTAACCACTGTTCTAACTCCATGTCCATCCAGGGGATCTGATGCCCTCCTCTGACCTCCACAGGCATTGTAAAACACAGGTGCACTTACATACATATAAGCAATGCACACACACATAAAAAATAAAAATAAAAAATGTTGCTCATCATTAGGGAAATGTGAATCAAAACCACAATGAAGTACCACTTCTGTTGTATAATTCAAAAAACAATAATATTTGTCCCCAATTTCTGTCACAGAGCATAAAACCCTTGAAGATTTTTTATTTTATTTATTATTTTTATTTTATGTGTATGAGTGTACTGCCTGCACGTATGTAAGTGCACCATGGCATGAAAAGACTGTGGCGGCCAGGAGAGGGTGTCGAATCCCCTGGAACTGGAGCTATGGACAGTTGTTAGCTGCCATATGGGTACTGGGGCTGGTACCCAGGACCTTCTGGAAGAACAGCAAGTGTTCTTAATCACTGAGCCATCTTTCCAGTCCCAAACCCTTGAAATTTTATGGTGTGTCTTGTTATTTCTAATGAGCCACTTTCAGTACTAATAAAAGGTGAGTTTAAGTTAATGAAGTAATTTAGGCTGAGAATTTTTTGTGTGTTTTTTTTTAAAAAGATAGGATCTTGCTTTGTAGCCCAGGCTAGCCTAGAACTCATATAATCTAAGCTAGTTTTGAACTCATAGCAATCCTACTGTCTCAGCCTTCCCTCCCAATTCCTGGGATTACAAGTGTGTGCTATAAAGCCTAGGTTAGAGAGGGGATCTTAAATAGCTTCAGGCTGAGACCGAACAAGAGAAAAACTGAGAGATTAGAATTGGAACTTCTGTGCCTCACCTCCTCACTTGGGAAGAAAAGGACAGGTCTTAGCGGTTGAGCCTCTGTGAAAACTCTGAGATGACAGCCTTCAAAGAGTTTTATCATTAGTGAAAACATCCACTTGCTCAGGAGGCTGTATGCCCAGGGAGGGTATCAAAGCTCTGGTGGTATCTGCATGCCCTGCCTATGCCTCCTGTTTCCTTCAATAAACGAGGGGATGTTAGTGAAGTGTTTCCTTAGGTTCTGTGAGCCATTCTTACTAAATTGTCAGACTTGAGAAAGAGTTATGATGGCTGCCCAGTTGCAGTTGGTTGGTCAGCACTACAGATGCCTGGGACTTGCACTTGGCATCCTCAGTGGGGTCAGAAGTATGGGACTGGACCCACAAGCCTGTGGAATCTGATGCTAAGTTCAGGTAGTTAGTATCAGAACTAAATTGACTCATTGGACACCCAAGTGGTTTGCTAGTGTTGGAAAATATCCTAGAATTTATACACATTAGGATGACTGCTACTGAAAAAAGTTAGTAAATAGAAACAAAAATAGCAAGTGTTCATTAGAATGTGGAAAAAGCAAAATCCTGATGAGTGACTAGTGGAAATCTAAAATGCTGCAGTCACTGTGAAAAATAGTTTTGTGGTTCCTCAAAAAGTTAAGTGGAATTACCCTATCAGTCTACTTCTAGGTATCCAAAAGAATTGAAAGCAGAAACTTGATTCTGGCAGTTATTTTTATGTGAGTGTTATAGCCACATTGTTCACAATAGCAGAAAGGCAAAGACAATCCAAATGCTAACCAACAGAGGAATGGATTATCAAAACATGATATCCTCATACAATAGGATATTATTCTGCCTTAAAATGAAGGAAATGCTGATGTATTCTACATCATGGCCAAACTTTTATATGAGGGACTAAAAACAGATAAACTCACACAAACAGAAATCTCAAATGAGATTTCCAGAGGTGGAAATATGGCAGAAAATATCTTGAATAAATAAAGAATTTCTTTGGGATGATAACTAAATTCTGGAGATAGTGATCACCATTGCACAACAGTTTAACTGCATTAATGCCACTGAATTATATGCTTCAATATGTTTAAAAATGATGAAATTGCAGGCACATACCACCAAATATGGCTTTATGTTTTAAGTGTGTTCCTGAAACATTCAAGGTAAGCAAAATCAACTTAAACATGGCCAGTACAGTGTAGAACAAAGGCTAATAGTGCTGTGAAATCTGAGTATATTAATAGTTCATTGTTTCCATTGCTTCACTGTTAAAAGGAGATAATAAAAGTACTTAACTCATTTGGTTGTTGGAGTCAATAAATTTAACATAGTGTTACAGATTTCAGGATCACCAGGAAGGACCATTCAGACTCAAAAAATTTCCAAATCAGCCAAATTATTTAGCTGGCCAGCACTCTGTAAGCCAATTTAGGGAGTTCCGCCCTAACTGGGAGGAGACGGGATAAAGGTAAAGTCCAAAAGATAAAGTCCTTGGTACAAGATTTAAGCTTTTACAATTTTATTTGAATTTTAAAGAAAAATCCTCCGGGGGCGGGGGGGGGCAGGAAGCTGGTAATCTTGGCAGGGAAGAAGGAAAGAAAGCCATGAAGCCATGCAGGTGTTGTGCCTGCATGGGGGTCAGACACATGGCTGACTGGCAGACACATGGCTGGGATAAGGAAACTTTAGAGAAAGAAATAAAAGATGCTAGGGGCTGCTGAAAGCCTTAAAGAAAGCACGTTTAGAAAAGGGGTATGGAGAAGAAAAGGAAAGATTGCGCTTTTCTGACTGTGGCTGGTCCAGAAGTTCTGTGCTAGGAGGTGGTGGGAATCTACGCAGGAAAATTTCACTATCTCATTAATGCATTCGGTATTCCGTCCATCTATTTAGCATAACCTGCCATCCTAGGGGTGGTCCTATGATTGACCAGTTAAACTTACACAAAATGGAGGGGCTCGGGTTATTACAATAGAAAGCACTTTAAATGCCACCTGGTACAAAGAAATCACTCTGTGACATTAGCTGCTGCTGCCGCCTTTATCATCATTAAGGATTTAATCAATCTGTGGTTTCCTAATAAAAATCTGGTTGGGCATGGTGGCACATGCTTTTAATCCCAACGCTCCAGAGGCAGAGGCAGGCAGATCTCTGTGAGTTCCAGGCTGGCCTGGTCTACATAGTACATTCCAGGACAGCTGGGGCTACAGGAAGACCCTGTCTCAAAAAGACATAAAAAAAAAAAAAAAAAAAAAAAAAAAAAAACTTTGCAAGGGAAAAGAGAGACAATACCTACTTTTTAGCACTTGCCCATTTTCATGGTGTAAATATGCCTACCAAGGATGATTTCAAGCTAGAAATGTGATATTACTGAACATGAACTCAGGCTATCTTTAAAATTTGCTTTGTAAGTGTAAATTTTATATCGATATGTAATATGTTAATACATTAATTTAAAATGAGGTGTATCTGTTTCTATAAATAATTACAATCTGTGCCTTGCAACAGTCCTCTCCATTTTTACATAGTAATAGAAATTCCAGTGGTCCTCCTAAGATATCACAGATGTTCACTGTAATGTAAAATCATAGAAGTGATATTGGACTTTAAGGAAGAAAACTTGATTCAGTCCCAACCTGCCCACTCATTGTTTTAGGAACTTGGAAAAGTCACTTTGTTTCCTTACCTGCATTGAGATATTTTTTGTCTGTCTGTCCTATCAATTACATGACTGTTCGAAACTCTCCAGTGATTGAAAATTCACCTGTTTCTCCTTTGGGGCTCCTTATTTTTGTTTTATACATATAATTAGTTGCACTCAACCTGTGTCTGTGCTGACAAACAAATGCAGGAAGGAGAAAGGGCCAGTCCCCAGTTTTCAGCACTTGACATTTCCATCACATAAATATTCATAAATAATCCATGTCTATTAGTTACTTTTATGTTGCTGTGATAAAAACACCATGACCAAGGGAACTTATAAAAGGAGAGTTTAAACTTGTGGTTCCAACGGGTAAGAGTCCATCACAGCGGGGAGGCATGGTGGCAGAAGTGACTGGGAGAGGAACAGATGCTAAACTCTCACATCTTCAAGCAGGCACAGGAAAAAGGAGAGTAAATCGAGATCTGAGAGCTGGCAAGGCTTAAAAACTCTCTAAGCCTACCCCAAGTGATGTCCTTCCTCCAGCATGGCCATACCTTCTAAGACCTCCCAAAATAGTGCCACCAACTGGGGACAAAATGTCCAAATACTTGAAGCCTATGCTCATTCAAACCACCATACCATGACTGGCTTCAAATTATAAATCTGATATTACTAAATGTGGAAAAAATGCACACCGTGTCTGTGACAAGACAGCCCAACATCACGGGCTTTGTTATTCTGCTCTTCTGA